ATTGAGAAATAAGAGAGAAATCCCAAATTTACCGCTGAATAATGGAGCTGTGGAGCCTTTCTTACTGCCGTAGACACATTTATGGGGCAATTTATTGAAACGGGTGATAGCTGAAAGCACCGTAAATTTAAATTTAAAAATCGTTACTGATATGTGGTATGTGACTGATCTCGGCACACGAGCCTACAAAAGGAAAGGTAATTCATAATTTCATCCCATATAGTAACATTTCATTGCAAAAGTGCAAGGATGCAAAACCAATTGGGTTTATGGCTTGCAATAATCACTTTTATTTTTAAAGTAGACTCCTGGAAAAACCATTTTGTGGACACAACATCGATTGATTGAGAAATACTTTTTTTTTATTCCCCAGCTGTCCACAAGTGCAAGCCCGTCGAGGCGATGAACATAAGCAATGGCACTGTGTCAATATGAATAGTTCGAGTAACCATGGATACGTAATGAATACAAGATGTCCGCCTGGTAATAGTGAATCTGAAATCCAAAGATTGTGTGAGACAGTAGACAACCAAGACTTTCTGAGTGGTATGCCTGTCGTAGACGACAAATCAGGTTTGGTTTATAGAAACGTGTTTTGCGCCAGATGTAATTCGGTCCAAGGTGTATCCTACTGGCAAATGAATGCAGACTGTGGAAGGATTCCCGCATCGGCTCTTCCCCAAGATAACACGCTACTATTGGATTTTATCAGAGAAAACTGCACCGTTAGGTACAGACCTACAGGGGGACAGCAAATAAACCTTAAACACTGCGTTTTCGCCAACAGCACATGCTGTGCAAGGCAAGTTATTGACAACGAACCAGTTTTAAAAAGCTTGTGTTCATACTACTCTTTCCCAGTTTGTGGTAGCCCACATCATAAAAATCCTCATTGCGCACTATGTAACGGAGAAGACATAACGCAGTTCAATTGTGGATGCCTGAGCACCGCAACAAGTAGGCCTCCAATACATACCACAAAAGGGGGATCAGCAATTCCACATTATAATACAATGCAATACAATTCTTCTATTGCGGCAGACCCACCTTATCATTTGCCGATATCGCCTACACTGCCGCAGTCCAGGCCCCCAGGAACAATACCTCTAACAACTCATTTTACGAACCGTGGATTCACGACGGAGCTCACAATGACTGGGAAGCCTTCAACAAAGTCACCAGAGTTTACACCTCAGCCACCGCCACCTCCATTGAGTTCCTGTTTGATTTTTCTTCTGATTCGAACCAAATTAGCATACATGGAACAAAGACCGAGACCAAGCTTGTGAATCTTAAAACTTGTCAGGAGGGATTCGTTTACGATCCTTTTGTTGACAAATGTCGCGAGGCATTTCAAGGCGTTATTGGGAATGAGAAACACTCTAGTAACTCGACCAACTCTACTTACAGTAACTTGATAAAGCTGAACTGCTCCGGAATCCGGCTTAATCTTTCAGATACTGTTTTGTATTCAAACGGAACTCTGTGGGTGCCCTTGTACTCAACAAATTACAACCGCACGGAGTATTTCGCGAACGGCTCCATCATATTCTTATGTACCGACTTTAAAAGTAATTATTCAAAAAATGAAATAATTACAAAGTGGTCTTATGCTGTTGATGTAACTACATTGCATATTCTCACCTACGCCGGATGTTCTCTTTCAGTTTTTTCGCTCCTCATTTTGCTTGTAATCTACTCTACATTCAAAGAATTAAGGACTCTCCCTGGCAAAAACCTGGTCAACCTGTCTCTTTCCATGATATGTTATCACATGTTCCTGTTTGTGGCGGGGTTAAAAACTATCCAAGAGGTCTGTACAGGAATCGCAGTCTTTCTTCATTATTTTTTGATGTGCTCATTTGCGTGGATGAGTGTCATGGCGTTTGACGTGACTAAAACATTCGTTTTTCATGGTAAGACACTTTCATCATTCATTCAGTTTTTCGGAAATAAGTAACACCCAACGATGCTGTCATTTCGCCCATAGACTTCTTCACCGAGAAGTCATTTCGCCACAACGGTTGTATGTGTTTTCAGACTATAGACCTGCAAAATGTACTGAATTCCTAAACTTTTTGTCTTTTCTTTGTAGATACTGACCTCCGTTCAGAACAAGAAAAGAAACAGAGAAAGACTTTCCAAAAATATAGCTTGTGCGCCTGGAGTTTCCTAGCTACTGCTGTTGGAATTTGTTTTCTATTGGACCACACTGAAACCATTTACATCGGTTATGGCAAGTGTTTAGATCAAGGTTTTTTCGTGAGGGAAGGGGAGTGCAGACTCGCAAAAATCGTCGGAGATATGTACACAACATTTTATTTGAACATAGTACAGTTACTCAGAAGGTAAAACTCCGTTTCGCTGAGACTGACCAAGATATGTCAATGAGGAAAAGCTCCGTAATCAGAAGCTAAGAATGTTCACAATGATATTATGGATCATGCTAAGTTTCAGAAAGACTCTTTTAATGAATGGAATAACATACAAAGGGGCTGTAAATTTCAAATAAATACATTCACTCAAGTGCCGAGCCCGAAAAAGCACCTCCCTCGAATAAGCGGCGCTTTTTCGACAGAAAAGTTAATGAGCCCCGCGGCCCCCTGGTGCTGTGCCTTTTCGAAGGACTCTTTCACAAGCTCCAACGCTTTTTATGCAGTTTAACATCCTAAGAGAACCAGGTGCAAATCCTTTCGGATGCACAGATTCAGACGTAGAACAAGCCTAACCTCTTTACCTAACCTTCGTTGTCGTGTCTAATTTTTGAATGAACGCTGCCCCTAAATAAGCAATACACTTGAGGCGCGAAAATGTGATTGTTGGAATAAATACGGTGCACAAAAATAAATTGATGGTAAAAGTTAAGAGAAAGTTCAGTTCATTTTGCGAGATATTTTTATATTGTTGAGGGCATAACCTCCGGACTCTCAATCATACATAATTTCATCTCAAGGCACTGTTTGAATTGCTCGAATGTAAGGAAAGGTAATGTGTGAGCGCAAATTCAAATATCTTTTCGTGTCTTTTTCAGGACGAGGAGGATTCTGTTGGATGGAAAACGGCACTGCCCTCTTATTTGCTGTGGGTGTACCTATTGCATTTTTTATCTTCTCTAATTTCGTAGCACTGACTTGGACAGCGTTTGCTATCTACAAAGTGCGAAAGGTGAACTGTTTTATTAGACAAATCGATTCAGTTCATTTTTGGTAATATTTTATGACGCTGGGATGACCTCCGAGAAATACTGTTCGGTCTGTCTTGCTTTGCCTATACTGTTAAGGTAAAAGTCAATTGAAATATATATCTCCACGACAATAACTGGATATTTTGATATGTTAGGTTACAAGCCAACTGACAAATCAAAGGGGTCATTCAAGTCTTGCTCTTCTGTGTATCAAACTGACTTGTGTCTTTGGTCTAACTTGGATCCTCGGTTTTCTGAACTCCATCGTCAAAGCAGAGGCAACCATATATCTTTTTGTTATCGTTAACAGCTTGCAAGGTAGGTTGACACGCAGCAGTGAATTAGACTTTCCTTCCGGCAAATGATCGCACAAGCCTTTTGGTCTGTCACACTCTCTTGAATGATGGCATCCGTGAGAAAATCAGCTTGCATTCTTGATATACGAATAAACAATTACAAAACACATGGAAATTATAATACTTACATGTACATGCAAGTATTGCCTTCTTTTTCGGGCTGTGAAAAGCCAAGTTGACATTATCAGTTTTCAGTTTTCAGTTTTTTTTTTGGCAGAGACGTTTCTCTTTTATATGAAATTGAGTCAAAAGTCAAAAATCAAAAGTTTTTCGTCCCTAGAAAATTCCTTTTGTTCCAAAAGAAGAGCATTTTTCAAGAGACATTTCTGTTTCGGTGATAGATACTGGCCGAGGAAACTGTGAACGGTTTAACTGAAATAATTGCCTTGTCAAATTTTACGGACACCTTTTTTTCTAATTTGTAAAGGAAGGCTTCCAAGTGTTATTGCAGCTGCAGGAAACTGTCAGTGGAGAGAGCGGGGTTAATGCGAGTCTGGGGTTGGGATTACATCTCAGATGAATCGCATTTTCGGACCTCGTTACTCTCTTTGACCAAAAGTGGTAGGTTTAAACGATCGCAAATCAAATCAATCTCACCATAATGAGTTACTTTGCTTCTACACAGGGTTTTTTATATTCCTGACGTTCGTTGCAAAGAAAAGGATCATAGCCCTGCTGAGAGGCCTAAGAAATAATCATCATGAAAGTGGACAAGAAAACAACGACACTTTAGACACAAAATTGTGACTGAGTTTTAGCCTGTCTTCAGCGGCATCTTCTGAGCACAAAACCAGGCTGAGGCTTTGCATTGTGATTCAGCCATTGTCGACTGGGGGGAAAAAGGATCATTTTCTAGTGAATGCCTAGTTTTTTCAACAATTCATTGTTAAGTTCGTTGAGCAGTCTGAAAATTTAGAAGCCAGTTATTATGCCTTCTATATTTCCTAGCTGAGTCAACTAACATAGCTAACCATGATGAATTGGTTATTTCCCAAAAACCACCAAAAACACCAATGACATCGACGACAGTGCTACTCATGAATAAATTTCATTTTTGATCACTAAATTCTATTGACCCTAACGTGTAAGTCGTTGAATTCCGGCGTTAAAATTTGGTTTTAGTTACATCTGGAGAACTCACACAAGGAACAACAGATTCCTGGGAACATGTTATGTTTTTACTGGGCTCTTCACCAATTTGGATGAAAACAGTATGCTTCCATACATTCAAATTACAACTGCAGCCAGCAAGAAGCTTCTATGGTGTTTAGAGTGACAACCTTTGTCTGAAGGAAAGATTTAAAGATAATAATTTATAAAAATTACATAGCTTCATAGGCCTACTTTTGGAGGTTATACGCGATTTAGATCTATACTGTCAGAGGCTTCTTAGCAGAACCCAATCAAACACAAATAGCGTGACGAAAGATGAGTAAAGACCAGAGTTTCACTTCTCCTTCTCAGATCCAAGAAACAAGTAACATCGCCATCACCACTACTAAAATGCAACAGGTGTTACCGGCAAGATCCCCTCTAAAGAAGCCGTCATCATCATGAGGAAGGTTTTCAACATTTCCTTTTTGATCACTTGATAGAGAATTGTGGGACGGTTGAATAGTGAGTTTAAAATCATCTTCATCAATGCTCACTACTGTTTCGTTATCGCTGATAACAGAATTTGTCTCAGTTCGGCTGTCAAATTGGTTTTCGTCTAGATTTTGTAGCCCTGGAAGCTGGCAAAAAAAATTGCTCTAGTTAATGGTCAAAAATCTTGATAAATGTAATTACGAAATTAGCAAAGAGTGACTGTGGAATTTTACTATAATATTTCATAATTTATTTATTAGTCAATGCTATTGATCATCAGGTAAAGTCATTTCTTCACTTACTCGTATTTCAAGACTTATCAAAACTATCCATTACACCGAAGAAGTAATACTTTACTTTTCGTGCCTTTGTAAATAAAGATTTTTAAATTCCTCAAAAATCAGAATCAACAACAACAATAATAGAACATACCGGAGGCAGTTTCAAAGTTTTGTTCAGCATTTTCCTCAGTTGTTCACATTTTAGGCAATCATCTTCAACTACGATTTCTTCACGATCGTCCTTAGTAGTTTTATCCTCTGTGTAGTGCAATGTTAACTGCAACTCTAGCCAGGCAACTCTGTTTCTCAGGCGCTAAAATCGTAATGTATGTTGAGGAATGGTAGACCAAAACCAAATTTAGTTGTGTAAGGAATCATGCACTCAGATCCCCGTTTAAAGTCGAGTTCGATTTCGAGCCTTGAGTGATTGCTATACATGCCGCATGATTTTCAAGTCATAAGAAGTCGTCCCTCGTCATTTTTTAGGATTGAATGCTTGAAACTTAAAAACGAAAAGCTTAGTAGTTGACTGGTGCGCGCGAGGGAAAAGTTCTGCGTGGGAGAAATCCAGTGTTTTTTTTTTTTCGCGATGCGTAAGTTTCCTGTCAGAGAAACTAACACGAAGGGTACTGATATTTTGGTAGCATCGTTTTACATTAAGGTTTCCTTTTTATTTTTATTGAAAATTGTGCGTTGTTATTCGGGTGAAATTATATTACTTCAAAGATTCATGGCTTTGGTTTTTTCGGAAACCCATCCCTAGTAGACAAATTTACTTGCTCTAAATTCAGAATGAGCTTGAAATTCTCGGCGTCTAAGCCCAATGAATTGTTGGAATATCTAATTTATATTACTTGTTGTCTGCGTGTGCGTCTATTTGCTCTTCAATCAACAACATCAGTCTTAGGCTAATCTTGATATGGCGAATGACGAACGAGTTTGGTGATTTTCATCAGGAAAAATCAGAGTTCCGTTGTATGACTCGCACCAAAATTGAAGCGGCCCAACCGCAATTGAAATATAGCATGGAATGACCCATATATTTTTTTGAGCTAGACCCTTTTTAGGTGCTTAAATAATTTCCCCTCAAAGAAAGTGCTCAGTGTAAAACTGCAAACTTACCTGGATAGTTTTATTTTTGGATTTCAAGCGCTCTTTAAGCGTCTTGTGCCCAGATTGCTTCTTAGTTAAAAGGTTCATCATTTGGTTAGGTGGTACTTCACGACTACAAGAACTCAGCATGATCTAACTCTGATCGGCAGTGACAGTCCATCTGCTTTCATTGTCTAAGTAAAGCATTGAACCCGAGCCAAAAGCGCTCTCCTGCGTCACTTAAAAACTAAATTGGTGAATGAAGCTCTGATTATCTCTAAATTAACAATTATGCCCTGATGACGCAATCACAGGAATTCTTGAGGTAATGCACGCGCTTCCGACGTAGGTAATAAGTACTGCTAGAGGTCCGACAAATTTTCATTGATTATTGATTGAAGAAATGTAAAATCAGCTTCGCGTCGTGGTTTCCTACGCTTATCTCGTTTCTCCCAACCTCCCGCGTGTTTACATCAGGCTATGTAAACACGGAAACCATTTTACATTTCTTTTATAAAATAACTAATGAAAGAGGAACGAAAACCGTGTTTACATACGCTCATGTAAAATGGTTTTATGGCCAATCAGAGCGCCCGTACTATTTGAATTATTTTATAATTTTATTTATGATTCTTCTGATTGGGCTCTTTATGCAAAAATTACAAAACAAAATAAATTATAAATAATATTCGCCATAGCATTTTGTTATTTTATTTCCTTCCTCCTCCTTTCTCCTTCCATTTTCCATTTCAGTCGACCGTTATTTAACACTTTGACAACGAGCATGATGCGACTCAGCTGATGTAGTGGGATATAATTTATATGCACAGCTGAGACAGAGGTCCAACTTGCATGCTAGAGCCTAGAATATTTTACAAGAGTAACTTCTTCATATATATATATATATATATATATATATATATATCCTAATTTATCAGAAAAAAAGCCAAAGAATTGTTTTCCATAGCCGCAGCCTGAGGCCTAGAACCAATCTGTACGACAATAACAAATCAATGCATTTTGCGACAAACGCTTTGTTCAAGTGACTGTGTGATCTGTGGATTACCGAGTATTTTCATAATTATTCAATATTCGGAAATCACTGCTTGAAAGTATGGATAATCGATCTGCTATTTTCTCCAGAAGTGCGTGGACAGAACTCTCACATGAGCAGCAGATCATTTCAAGAAAGACACCGTTGGAAGGTATTTCGCACGAGCAGACCATTATTTTTTGGTAGTTATTTGCAGTTCACGTGGTGGGCTAAAAGGCAAAATTCGTACATCGAGTGATGAGATATGACTTATGCAATACATTTCTGAAGCCATGTTTCACATCATCAGTTTCAAATTTTTATTGAGCTGAGTGAGATTTCATGATGTTGAATATTCTGTCAAAAGACAAGTGAGAGTTAAATCTAAAATACTGTACATCAATAATAAATCCCACGAGTAGGCTATGTTGCGATTTTCCTGACATGAGTCGACCCGGACTGGCATTCATTTGTATCAGTGTGGTTTGTGGGGCTGAATCGTGACACACAGTAAGCCTTTATCTTGCTATATGTCCGTCTGTTTGCCACGAAAGCCAGAAAAATGAAGAATCCTATAAATAACAGGGTGTTAATGAATCACTGTATAAGTGGAACCACTTACATTAATTTCCAACTAAAAACATTGATTTAATGGAGATGAATGTTTGATCAGAAGGAAGGTGAAATAATTTCATATGAATTTTTGATCATGGTAACATGATAATGTGATAACAAAACGTCGAATCAAGGAGTCTTCTATGGTGTAATTGATCATAGTAGTATGATGATGGGGTAACAAAACGTAGAATCAACGAGTCTTCTATGATGTAGTCATTAGCGCCCTCGATATTAAGGATTAGATGACATTGATGTCTTCTAGCAAAAAGGAAAAAGAATATTCAGGATTGCACCTGAGTGGAATATTCGATTTTTTATCCAAATGTTTTGGTCCGTTTCAATGATTCTTCGGTACAGATTAAAGTCATGGACCTACCTTTTACTTGCTAACCGTCATTTGCATAGAAAACGTACCTTGAAGACTGTTTAAAATCACAAACAAATAATTCAGAAACTCCACTTTGGCAAATGGAACGATGAAACCCAATATCCAGGTGAAGCCAATAGACGAAGACAGCTTTAAGTACAGGATAAGAAGACTGGTCTCGTTACTTGTTACGTGACGCGTGGTCTGTCATGAAGGAAAAGGTTATTTGCTTTGTTACTAGCTAGGGACAAAGGACGAAACAGGGTACCAAAGAGAAGTTGACTCACAAGCAAAAGAATAACTTTCTGACGAAGAGCTAACGCTCGAAACTTCAGCTTGAGAAACTCTTAAGTGTGGCCAATTCACGTTATAAACTCAGTTGACAAAACAAAACTATCTTATGACCACCCCTCCCCCCACCGGCGCAGCACCACAATTTCTTACTCCATTTGCTCCCACAAACTTTCGACATTGCTCGTCGCTTGTCAAATATAAATTTAGTGATGGCCTATCTCACCATGAAGTTCTCTGTAGCTCAATGGTGAAGTGGATGAAGGTTTATGACTCATTTGCCATTTGGGACTTTTTCCATCAGAGTTTTTGCTTTAACCTACGCTAGTGAAAAAATCCAACAGCATCTTTTTTTTCTTATTGACGACCTAGTTTAAAATTTATTGTCTTTCCAGTAATCTTTTAGGGAGTCTAAGATATTTGATTGGATCAAGATAAACGTCATAAGCTCATTGTCAATGAAGCAATAAGTACTTAGAAAAACGTGGGCAAGATCAACTGAAAATACCATGGTTCCCTAAACCGTTAGAACTTCGGACAACCGCAAACCGCTCAATAACGGCCACCAACACTTTTACAGAGAAATAATCATGTTGAGTCAGGTCTTGCATGAATAGAAGAGAAACTTCGAGAACTACCTTCTTAACTTTCCAAATAGAAGCCATCGTGTAGGAAAGAGCAGCTATGTTGAAAATTATGATGACTGCCACGGGTAGACCAAGTACCAGAAGAAGTGCTTTGCCATTTGAAATCCAGCAAAAAATGTCACCTAATTGAAAAATCAGGAAGCTCTATAGAATGCATGGGAGAGACACGTGTGTTGATCAAGTGTACAGCAGGTATTCATTGAATTAAATTACCAAACGAACTTTAAAAAAATATAGCGCTGAAATCTTGGAGAATGCACGTAAAGAGATTTTGAGGCGTGCATGTTAAGAGTTAAGGGGAACGACCTTTACATTAAGTAAAAAATCACAAAGACTGTATTCTGGAGTGGAAAAAAAATTTAAGAGAAACGAATGGAGCTGATAAGAAACAAGTCTGATTAAGGATAGCAGAGATTAGTATGGATTGCAGATAACCAGTTCTCATTTGGACAAACCACGAAGTAACTGCTTGTAGGAATAAATAAAGGGCCAAATAAAAGTGGGTGTTACGATATATTTCTAGGAATTCTACCCACAGGGCTCGAAAAAGAGTTCAGTCAGGGGTTGAGGGAGATTGTTTTCACTGTACCGTCGTACCGTATCCAATGCTGAATGCGTCTGTTTTATCCAGAGTTACACTTGTGATCACAACAAGAGCAGGAGTGATCCAGGCAAATACGCAGTATACCATTAACGCATTTGTGTTACCACTAGAACGAGAATGTGCTGGTTGCCCTGTTTTTGAAAATAGATATATTTGTTAGTTTAAGCAATCGGAGAGACCAAGATAAGTCTCGTAACCAATATCTCTAATTTTATTGACTCTAAAGTCTTACTCTATTTACATCTGCGCTTTTTGCTTCCTTATACCTTTATTGCAAAGGACTTTAAACAAATGAATAAATTGATGAAATGCTAAATGCAGTTTGGAGGTTGGAGGTCTAATAGAAACAGGAGGTGCGAATTATGTAATTCAGACTCAGACCATAAAGTTCGCACTCAAGTTGTCCACAAACAAGTCAAAAATTGAACATATCGATTTTCGTTCTCACCATGTCCTCCTCAGCTACCGTCAATGATGATAAAGATAAAGGTAAACGTATTTTTGTAGCGCCGGTATCCTGTTGTTCATTACAATGAATTTCATGTTTGAATTCTTTAACTTCAAGAAAACGAGAGCTACGATTTAACCGTTGCTTTTGGTAAGGTGTTTTCAGGCTCCGAGACCAAAATAAGGTCAACACGTTTCCTTCTTACTACTTTACGAAAATATAATTTTCGACAGTATTTAGTGTGCAACTCCTAATTGATATCACACTGGTAAGAGAGCCTACCATCTCGGTTTAAAAGAAGCACCAAATATGCATCTTAAAGTCCATGAAATAAGTTACCTGTGGCTCCAAACGTCTTTGCCACATCAAATGCCAAAACTCCCATCCAGAAAAATGAACACAACAGGAAATAATGGAGTAGAATGGACACCGTCATGCAAAAATGTGGCTTGTCGGTCTCACCAGATAGAAAGAACATGGTATGGTACAACAACATTGCACAGGAAAGATTCATGAGGTTCTTCCCTGGCAAATTCCTCAGCTCTGCAATTGCAATGTAAGTACCAAGAAGAAAAAGTAGGGAGATTATGGAGGTGGTGCATCCGATGTACGTTAACACTTGTCGTGGTGTGATCTTTCTTGATGCGACTGTTTCTGTCACGACATAGTTACGACTGAGGTTCATACAAAGGAAGAGAGATGACCCATTGATAAAGAAGCTTTCATTACCGTACGATTGTTTGTGCAATGGAATCCATACTGAGCCGTTAGTTTGAATTCTAACAGAATTTAGTTCCATTTCGACAAAGGAACAGTTGATGGAACTTTCATTATTCGTAGCAATGTGAACGCTGACTTGAATGCATTTTTCAGTGAAGGGATCAAATACGGTTCCTTCAGCACACAGCTTGTTCATTACGACAGTCTTCTGTTTTCCCAGTCTTATGGTGTGGAAAGAGGAGGAAAAGTCGAATAAGATATCCAAGGGAGGTGTGCCAGGTTTTGTAGGTGGTGGTGGTGGTGGTGGTGGTGGATTCACTGAGAAGCAGGCACAAGAATATGCGCTAATGTCTTTGCCCTTGCAGATTTCACAATGTGGATTCTTTTCTTGAGCGCTGTAACAAACAGGAAAGGCGTAAAATGAACATAAATCGGGCAGCAGTGGTTCTGCTTGAATTACCGTTGGATCTGAACAGCTTTGCTCTATGGCCAAGCATTGCTTTAGCAGATGCTTATTACCAGTTGGTGCTTTGAATTCCCATTCACATCTCGTCATTATGTATTCCAACATCTGTGATCTGTCCTTTGGAACGTTATGAGTGCTAATACCTTTGCATGAGGCGGAGAATTTCCAGTATGTCTGATTCTTAGCATGATTGCATTTAGAACAGAACACATTCTTGTACGTGAGTTTTTCCTCCATGTCTGTTACAGGCAAAAGTCTGAGAAGATTTGTCGCGGTGGGTTTTTCAACGCATAGGGAATTCAGACTCTGGTCGGGATTGTTTGATGGACAGCTGGAAATCATTACGAATCCATAATCCGTCGAGTTGTTCGTTTTTATACACTTCTGCTTAGTAGGGCTCTTTTTCGGTGTCTTGGAAACCTTACACCTTGAAGAAAAGGGATAAGTAAGTACGACTGGCCGACTGAACTGAACTGATAGGTCACAGAAACCGCCAATGTGGAAAAAAAAACTAGTTCAATTAAGTGGTTAATCGATCGGGATGTCAAGTATCATTCCCTTAGTTAGTCAATCTGTACTTTCATGGTCTCCTATTTATGTGAGTTAGTCTGTCCATCCTCATATTGAGGTATAAAACTGATCTGTGTTATCTAAAAGGTGTATCACTGTGCTAGCGAATTGAAGGTTGACCAAAGATCTTTAATCTTAAAAGAAGAAAAAAGTCGTCTTTGGTCTGATGAAGATGTTGATGTTGAGTGCTTTAAAAAGTAAACTTTTTTGGTGGAAAGTCAGCCACTGAGGTTGTCAAGGAGTCAGGCAGTCGACCACTTATCCTTCCCCTTCGATGGATCAACCTCATTTATGTTAATAGACATAACGAAGTATCAGTGAAATTTAGTATTATCAACTGAGTTGATAACGTAAATTGCCCACTGTAAAGAGTTTTAAAAGCTGACGTTTCGAGCGTTAGCCCCTCGTCTTCGCTCGAAACGTCAGCTTTTCAACTCTTTACGGTGGCCAATTTACTTTATCAACACAATATATGTACTAGATTACCCTGTTATACTCTCCCACCGACGCAATAAGTAAATTTCTTTAGAAAATTACCCCCTTTATTCATTTGAAGTAAAATGCGCAAGATGAAATCCATGACCTTTCTTTCTGAAACTGCTTCAAGCTGCGTCAAAGAGCTTCTATTTAGAGAACTACGAAATATTTATGTGTTATCTACTAACCAGGAGATGAAAGAACTTTGGTAAACTTAAGGTTTGAAGCTAAACTCGACGCCGCGCAAATTGAAAATGCATATGAGCAAGCAAATAATGCCTTCATATGGAATTGACAAGAACAGAGGTGTTTTCAAGGATTAAGCTACAAGACTTAATTGTCAAAAGAGTGGTTTGCAGTTTGCATGTTATCACTCTTAGTTCTAAATGTTTTGGGAAGGGAATAAAAATAGGCCACATTAGATGTTCAGGTTAACCCACTTCGAGAAAAAAATTCATCCTTTGTAGATCCTTCTTGGAAGTTAGAGAGTGCATGGCAATAACGACATAACAATGAAGGAATTACTTTAGAAATTAGTCCTTCTTGGAAGGACTTAGTTTTCCAACTTAACCCCCCCCCCTTCCTTATCCTGTCAAAATGTATTACCTCAAGAAGTAATCGAAGCAACAATCCCCCAACTTGAAACATAACGTATCGCAATAGCAAGGCCTTTTGTACGCTCGTTCTTGGTCTTGGTCGTCCAAAGGGCATATCCGAGTGCAGGAATACTCGGCTGAGGGGCACATCCTTGTCATATCAAATGGGGAAGAAGTCATGTTTAGTCTAATGAGGAGGCTACTTGTGCTTATGGTCTTGTTATGATACTGAATCAGCAGATCCTTTACGGCTGGTGCAAAAATAAAATGAAATTGCGAACAATTAAATAAAATGAGAAACAGAAAAGTTCAATTAAATAGTACTTGATATTTCCCTATATTTTTAACTTTAAATGTTCTTGAATTCACAGTCATAAAGTCATAATATCCCCACCATGGGAATATTTAATCCACCAACTGAAAGCTTACATACTCTCAAGAAGATTTTGTTGTTTCATGAACAATTCTAACTTTTCCTGGCTCCTGAAATTATTGAAGACATCCTAAAAAATATAGCCTGGTTTAATCAAAACCTTTTATCATTATACATTTAGTCTAAAGCAGTTCTTAAACTTGTATTTAGACGTCTCAACTGAACCACGCTATATTAGAGAATACAGATGTTGATTTTCAGAGAATCTGAGTCAGAAGACTGCTGGGCGTGATACAACGCTGCAAGGCTTCACAATTTATTGGGGTCGTCTCAATTCTTCATTCGTTTGAGGTTGTGGAACTAATTGACAATTGATATTTTGGAAGCTATCAGGTCCCCATAAGTAAAACACAATTAGTAGAATTAAAGATATTAGACACCCAGAAATCCTTCAACAGCATTTCTGTATTGCTCTCTTTAGTAAGAGTATGGCCTTCTTTACATCGCATAGAGGTTTAATAATGACAATGTAGCTGTATTACAACATGAACCGTATAAAAGTATGGAGGCGTTAGTAACAGAATATCTCAGTAAAGTATAACGTATAACGTTCAAAGTCGACAACAGTCCCGGCTTTAGTTACATACACTCTATATTTCTGATGGGGAAGCTGGGGGGAGGTGGGGTTGGGAGGGACTGCTTATTAGTAAACCATTTTCTGATCCTGGCCGATTCAGCCTCTTCGCCGTTTTCAAGCCATTTTTTCCGGAAAGTTGCATTCATTGCTGAGCCCGATCTGTACGTACAAGTCAAGCACTGTCACTGAGGGCAAATGCAGATAGAGACGTTATCTTGCTATTTCTACTTACGTGCGGGAGTAGATAAAGAAGGTTGGATTCCTGGTGCGGGAGTAAGTGGAGGAGGTTGCAATCCTGTTGTATTTGGTGCAGGTACTGATGAGTTAGCTGCTTTTTCAAAGCCACAAAAGAACATCACAGTGAATATCAAGATCAGCATCGTCTTTAGACCAACAGCTTGTGTAATCTGCAAGAAGTGAGGTAGTGGATTGCCCCATTACTGATTTGCTTTAGTGTTATTAATGCTCTTAAAACGGTGGTTAGTTTGAAGTCACTCACAGACGAGAGTTGGTCCTCGTGGCACTTTAAACTCTAGCTTGCCTGCGAATGCTTTGCACAGCTTCCACGACTTATGTAAATCCTGCCAGGGCGCTTTGATTTAAAAACAGAAAAACTACGAAAGGCCCAGAACTGATATTTACAATTTGAATAGCAATATTATTCTCATAGAAAAGTAAAACGAAAAATACTTCTTTTCTCGTGAACAAGTCAATATACCTATGCGTCATTCCTATCAGGCATTTAATTCATTTTATTTCCTTTTATATAGAACACAGCACATTTCCACTGAAAGCCTTGGTTCTTTCTGTCAATTCTCTTACTCCTAAGAGTGAACAAGGCAGAATTTACCTTTTTATAGAAATATAATATCTCGCACATAAGTGATGGTTACAAGAAAGATATCAATTAGGAGATTATTATTTTGAAGTTGATCCAATACTAAATCCTCCGAACAAACATCATAAGAATTGTAGGGCAGACAGTAAAGAGATTATTGATGAGATCTTGAGAGTGAAAAGGATAAAAGAAGCACTAACATGAAATAATATCTAGAGGTATAATAACCATAACGGTACCACAATCTGCATGTATCGTATTTCTCTATTCCATACTTATGTTCAAGTGGGCTTTTTACATCTGACCAGCTGGAATTTGGCAAGAGAATTAAGAAACCGATGAATTCTTTGGGCGCATTTTTTTTCTTTCTTAAACGAAAATAAAAGTCGACTGTTTTTTTTTTTTCCATTTCTAGTTGTAACGGTCAAATCATTTAAGTAAATAGCATTTTTTAGATCACTCAGTTGCTCTTTCCACTCTTCGCTTGAGTCCATCGTTACGATAGGTTTGTCGCCTACAACTAGACTTTCGCAGGGAACGCAACGGTAACGGAGGAAATAACTTGATGGGCACGACATAGCTGCGGGAATGGAAACTCGTATCGGCGTTTCCTCCTACACAAGACGTACTTCGGCATGCTTAGTTCGGGCGTAAAGGGTCAAATTCCGTCTGTTTCTCACTGAAGTTTATTTTATTTCACGCCGACAGCTGCCATGAACACTAGCGTACTTAATAGTGTAATCTTTCTGATCACAAGTAGAGTGAACGATGTAAGCAAAAGGTTTACGATGTACTTCCCTAACCTCATAACTCCCGTGAGCGACCAAGACAGAATTACTCCTGACCATATCATACAATATCATGCAAACAAGTTAGGAGAATAAAGAAAAATATTAATTATGGGATGACTAATTGATCCAAGACCAAATTCTCCAAATTAATACAATGAGAATCATTTGGCAGTTAATAAGGAGAATTTATAATGAGATTTTGGGACTTAAAGGGTCAAGTACTCTTGAGCGTGGGGTTCTATTGTTCTCTCAATTTACACTTTACGGTAATTTCCACTTAAATATTCCATCTGTCCGGAGAACACTAACCAAGAAAGGGGAAATTAATCATATAGTTTCGAAATTAGTTGCGGTAGAGCAACGTAGAGAGTAAAAATAAGAAGTTAATTAAAATTTCTGCTTATCTATGCGATGTTGGTGTTAATTTTGAACAGGTGGCAACGAGGAAAATTATCGTATGAAAAGAACTAAATTACGGACGCAAGTTCAGCTGGCAACTTTCCTGAGAAATAATTTACCAGAAAAGGTCGCTACCAGGAATGTTAACATAACAATGTCCACTTACAGGTGCACCAAGGCGGCGAGTACAAAGCGATATTTACTATTGATAGTTGAAAGACCTTACTGTTGCCTTTTATTTTTTTTTAAACATTAAAATGAAAGAAACGCAAATGAGTTGAGAACGGCTAAAGTAATAAATAAATTGTTCCAAGTCGCACGGAAAATCACTAAATTTTTCCTTAAGACTATAAAAAAAAGAGCTACAACAAAATACAATAAAAAAGTAAAAAAACAAAAAACAAAATACTAAAGAAGAAAAAAGCAATGGAAAGAAACAAAAAGCAATGGAAGCTGTTTTGAGAATAATTCTTTCATTCTCTGAAACATTCTGTTTTTCTAGATTAAACAAAGGGAAAGTCGACTTTACAAAATTTTTGTACATACGAGAGAATCTGTCTTTTAGGTATTTTTTATTTAGTTTTATTCGCTAAAAGGAAAAAAAAGTAATTCATGCAATGCCCATAAAATTAACTCAGGCCAGTTGCATTTCCTTACTTTGCACAATATTACAACGTTGACACGAAGTTGACAAAACTATGTTTTCTAACCAAGTAATCTGCAGAATGTTTTGGAAAAGTTACCTGTATGTAACACACTGACGTGCATGATTCTTTAAAGGTTAAACAAAGTTTTAAAGTGATGACTTCCAATCGTTTAAAAATATAAGAAAAAAATTCTACTCACTATTCTTCAATTCCTACTTCAGACCTGGATTATCTTTTCCAAATGTATTTCAGTTCTAATGGTCCCACGTTGTACGACATACGACGTTATTCAAAAAGCTGGCAATCGTCGGCCCTATCTAGGAGCCCTATAGGAGAGGCATAAATAACCAAAATAAGCATTTTCAAATTAGACAAAAGTGCAAAAACAAGATGCCATCCCTTCATTTAAATTTTTTACAAACCTCAGGTTTCAGCTATTTCTTATTCACTTTCGACAAAAGTATTCTGCGCTCGATCTTGCCTGGCACGTATTAACAAACCTCAGCGAGCGATTTTACCCAGAATCAATCTGCATCATGGAACTTGCACATGATATTTTTTTAACATCCTTTTTTTCAGCGTGAGCCGCAATAGCGCCAGCACCAACTAAATTCGTATTTTAAGCACTAAATTAGTTATATATTATCATGACTAGGCATAACTATGCAAATTTGATTCTTCGTCAATCTACTTAGTATATATTATCCCTAGCAAAGCTAATTATGCGATAAACATGAAACTAAATAAAAAGGTTCATTTTTGTGGACCTTAATCTTGTTTTAACCATAAGCTCCTAATTTTCCAGAAATTAGAAAAAAAATGGAATTTCCATAACGAACAAAGAATAAAACATGGAAAATTTGCTGCAATGCTACCGAATGGGCAAATCTGATCGTGTTAACTGAGGTATTCTCCTAGTCATTTACCTCATGACATTTCAGCCCTGTAAGTTGTTCGATTCCTTTCTGTCTACCTTAAGTCATTGCTATACTTAAATGATTTACCTCTTAATCCAATAATGTCAGTAGAGGGAAAGAAATTGTGATGACTTGTTTAAGGCTTTCCTTTTGACTTGGAAGAATAGAAATATGCTCAATCCTTCGTAAAATTAACTTCCTTGCAAACAAAAAGACATCTCTCTTCCCTTTCAAAGGACGGGAAGCTCCGGACATTAGTAGTTTTTGTTGCTCACCATTATTTCATCGTCCTCCCTCGCAAGAGGGTTCCTTTAAGCGTAGGCAGATACTATTAAAAGTATGAGTTTGTTGCACAGGTTGAAGTTTATGACCAAAAATGTCAGAAACACAACTGGTAAAAGAGAGAAACGTTTACTTTCACGATTATGGCTTGATTTCACAATGCCTCATGATCTAATGAGTTTTAAACCTAAGCCAGCTGAGTATATCTTTTCAAGTGTAAATTATTTACGATGAAACGGTTCCATATTTGAAATTTTTTTTTTTGCATGGGTTAAGCAAATATCTAATAACTTAAGTGTAACCTGTCTCATTTAGACTGAAAAGAAACTTATTGGATTTTTGAAACTAATAAATCTTTTCGATTGTACTAGCACCAAATCCTCTAATGTTCTTTCTGCACTTTTTCTGCAATGTCTTTTGTACATTGGTGGGTTTTTTAAAATTCATTTTCTTCTGATTGTCAAATATCCCATTTCCTCAAAATCGAAAAAAAATCTATTAAATTGGAGAAATATAACCGTACATTATCATGGCGTACGTCACTTAATTACGTCAACAAAGTTTCACTTTTGTAAAATACGTGAAGGATAAGTAACTGATGCAAGGGGAAAAAACACCCCTATGAATATTTAATTAACCCTAAAGTGACTATTATCGAATTTCCTCGCACAGTGTACTCTTGACCCAATCATCAATGCCATTAAGGAAATGATCATAGGCGAGAGAGGATATTGATTGCTACACAAATTCTCCTTTTTATTATCATAGCAAATGTATGGAGGACAGTTATTTTCATAGAAAATATAGGTACTGATTTTAGGGTTTGGAAACGCAACAAACTTAGCTAGCTGGGGGAATTATCAACTTGGTAGGCGTACCGTCATATATCAAATGATGCTCAGCTAGCCAGGTCTGAACCTTCTGAGCCGCCTTGACTAACTCTTTGTTTCTTGACGTTTACACACTAAAACATTTGCAGCAGTCTAAATGTATATCGCAAAAGTGTAAACTAACGCTGAAGAAGACGTACTCTATAAATAATGAATTTGACCAAGTTCTCTGCGGGGACGAAGAATTTAAGGCAACTAAACAGCCCTTTAACGTGAAACGAAGAGGAGCTCCCTTCTGATGCATTCATATCCATCCCATAATGAAGAAAACGGCAAATTAAACAACAAATGAATCGATTAACTACATTACAACCCTATGGCATGAAGCATCTACAGGCAGAACTAACCGCCTTATTTACCAAATAAGTTGAAAATACATATCGTGAGTCATACCTTCCTTAATATCTCCAGAGCGCGCAATATAAAATAGTTAGTTTCCAGTGGTGTGCTAAAATCTTCTTGAAGAAAGGACAAGGAAACAAATGTCATTAAGGAAATGATCATAGGCGAGAGAAGATATTGATTGCTACACAAATTCTCCTTTTTATTATCATAGCAAATGTATGGAGGAC